CTAACTGGGCGCCCTCCCTTATTATTCTTTTTTATCAGATTTAAGGAGAGACAATTCAAATTCAGATGCCCTACCACCCACCTGTTTAAGGGTACAGGTCACGCAAAAATGGGACAAAATGTTTTCAAGTTTAATCAAGAAAAAGATAATAACAAAGAAACACATATTGCTCTTTTATTAAGAGTTATTCTCTAAAAAGTCACATAAAATGTCTGTGATGTTTGCTCTCAAACCCCCAAAAAGATGCCAGAAGGAATTTTGTTGCTCCACCAAAATGCTCTTTTTTAATTCTAAGACAATGTTTCTTCATCCATCTATAAATATTCATCAGAGAGTAAAATTAGAAGGCTGCTCTTTATGAGCATGTGTGAGAGTGTGTTTGGTGTGTGTGTGTGTGTGTGCTCAGTATTCTACTTCAAGAAGCAACCATTTATGTGTATGAGAGGACCCTGCCTGTGTGTGTGTGCGTGTGTTCAGAAGGCTCCCATTGGATTGAATTATTTAGAGGAGAGTCTCTTTTACTTATCCACGGTCGACTGGCCGCGGGCATGTACAGTTCTGCTCCCAACGACACAAGAGACTACCCTAATTCACCATCCACCCTTCTGCAGTATGCCCCTATCTCACCCTCCAACCCCGCTCTTTTCCCAGCATGCTCTAGTGGTCTACTGCAGATGTCCCCCATCACAGCCTTATTTCTTAGTAGACAGGGTCAGGGACAGACTGAGAGGCAACAGACTGAGAGAGGAGAATGACAGGAGCAAGAATAAGATTTTGTTTCAGACACAATGTGTTTAAAAATTGTACACATAAAAAACATGTAAAACGTGTAACAAAGTTATTTATTTTTCAAAAAGTTTAATCACAAAAACCAACCAGATCTTAGAGACACACACACTGTGACAAGTCAGTAGGCGTGGAGTCCCGCTATCTAGGAGTCGGATGCTAACAGTCGGCGTCAGTGAAGAATCATGTAAAATATTCATCCATGTGGCTGGCTTAATAATGTATTATCCCTCAATTTAGCACCCAGAGCTTTGCTGTGCTCTGCTTTGCGCAAACTGCCGCCAAGTACTTGAAGTCCAATCATTTAAGAAAGATCCACAGCTTTAAAATATCAAACCTTCACCATCACAAATTCAGATTAAAGTGGGTGCAGCTTTCTACAAGGAGCCAAACTACTGTGGAATCTAAAAATGTCACAGAGAAATGTTTTTGTTTGGGAAGAATGGCAGCTTTAGCTTGAATCAGATCTGAAAAGAATTAATGTTGGAAAAACAACATTGGCTTGTTTATCATTTCATTCCCTGGTAAAAGTTTGAAGGGCAGCTCAATAAGTTGAGCCAGTTAGGAAAATATGCATGCATCACACAAATACTATCCAAATATAGCTGGAGTTGCTCGTTCTCTGGCTGATCTCTTCATTCTGTGGCAGCTAGGCACTGATGTGACCCTGTCAGGCAACAGACTGGGACTGATGGGATACTGTGTGTGGCTGTTGTATGGCTGCTGCTGCTGCTGCTGCTGCATCTCCATATTTATAACTAGACTCTATCCAGCCCATAATCCGCAAGTAGCAAGATCCATGCTGCCAAGTGCACATATGGACTCACATAAACATGCACACTGTGACTATTTCTCTCTCTCTCTGTTTCTCAGTTTCATTTCCTCAGGTGACATTGGTAATCTTCCTCTTCCTCTCTTGAACACACACATGCACACACATGCACACACACACACGCACACGCTCATTCAGCACTTGCAAGTAAGGATTAAATGTGAGCGGTTGTTGGGAGCCACAGGGTGGGCCAATTCAAAGTCAATCTGACTGGAGGGGGAGAGGGCTGTGCCTTTACCACACTGGACTTTCAGTGTGTGGGTGTGTGTGTGTGTGTGTGTGTGTGTGTCAGTGCTGACAGGCACATTCAGACTCACCCGTGACCTTTGATAGAGGGAGGGAAAGAGGGATAAGTCAGAAAAGGGGGGAGCTTCAAAGAAAAATGCTTTGCTGTGCTTTTGCTTTGGAGATGCAGTTTGAGCTACTTGGCGCATGCATTAATATTTGTGACTGTGTCCCAACTGTTTCCTCAAGTGCCACATCAAACTACACTTCCTGTCTGTCCTGAACTCACCCTGAAACTGCTGGAATTAGTATAAAAAATACATTTTCTTAAATATGTTTCCTAAAGCAATAGTGTGAAAGCAATGTCAAAAAATACAAAAATATATCATTTTAAAACAATTTGGGGAAGGAGTTCTTCTTAACATATTCCCTTACCCCCTTTCTCTCATTACTCCTCCCTCCCTCAGTCTTTCTCTTTTTTAGTGACCATCGGCTACAGACTCATTGAGTTATACCTAATACAAGATCATGACCACCTGCCTGCTACAAGCACTGTCTTGTAATTGTGAGACCCAGCTGCAGAAGCTGGTGGTGAAGTGTTTTGCTCAAAGATGTATTGTGTGTGAGTGATTGAGCAATATTCATTCAGTTCCTCATACACACACAATCAACTCAGAGGAGTTTATCATCGTTAGTTGCACTGCTGCTAATGTTAACACAATCTTCACTTAATAACACAGGTTTCAAAGACAGATTCAAACAATCATCAAGGCTGTTATATAATGAGAAAACAGACAACAAAATCACCCATCTGTCACCGACAGATCTTTGGCTCTTGTAGTGTTCACCAAAACTAACACCTCCAGAAGTGAAAGAAGTCCACAATGGAAGTCTGAACAGCAAAATGCTCTTTTTTGTTATATTTGCAATGAGCAGGAAATGCTATAGAGGCTCAAGAAAAATTGTGCGTGTTTCTCCTTTAAAAAAAGACTATTACTGTATCACATAAAAGAATCCAATACATGAAATAAATAAATATTGGCTGAGAATATTGACTAAATATAATACAATCTTAACTCAATAATTATGCATTTGACAGACCTGCTCTGAGTCACAAAACAAGAGGAGAAATTAAATTTGACTATAGTACGAGTAGTTTTTCATTAATTGTGTGTTGTGATACTGAACAGACAGCAATCTGTAAAGCCTTTACTTTAATACATCTGTTGCGATGTTGTTTGTGTTTTATTGTCATGGCACAATAGGTAAGGTTGTTCAATATAAAATATTTTCCTTGATACCTGACATGAAAAATGTTCCTCCTACAGGTATAGACATGTTATACATTTGATCCATTTTCTATATATGCGACCATTCATTCATCCAGCCACTTCCAATCTCAGCATCAGCATCAGAAGAAACCCTCATAGATAGAGTTTAAATCCAGGACTTTCTTTATTATTAGAAATGATTTGAGTTTTTAATCTACATTGTGCAATTCAAAGACATACATATACAATGTAAGTTGGCAGTGAAGTTGTGATTTCATGCGCAAAGCATAATACTAGTGTGAACACGTGGAAAAAACATCATGTGTGTACAGACATAGCCAGTGTCCTTCTCAGAAGCCATGCATAACTCACTTATATTTTACAAATGTATGTACAGGGAAACACAGAAGATTGAAGAGAAAGTGGCAGCCATCAAAAGACCTTTACATCACTACATCATACATATCATCACCAGTTGTCAAAAAATTATTATTAAAGTATTTAACTTAATTATAAATTAAAGGGGGGCATACTGTACCAAATTTCTCTAAAGTGTATTGTCTTTATTGCACTGGCTTACAGTGACAAAGTGCTACAGCAAAACACACAAAGGTACAGTTTCTTCTTTCTCAGTGATGTGAATCTTAAGGGGTTCTTCTATAATTACCTGACACTGTTAACATTGTATTGACCCTATAATAACAATGACTGAGTGGCCAATTTCAGTAAGACACACAGAATGGAAATGCAGAGAGAAATGGATACAATGTGAAAACAGAAGATAGGTGTGAAGAGATAAGCTGTACAACAGGTCAAAAGATGGAGAGAAGAAAAACTGAGAAATGAAAAGAGAGCAGATGTGATAATCATGTCAGAAGAAACAGTGATGAAGAGGAGGAGACTGGATTGTGTGCACATTGAGAGGGCAAGGCAAAAGAGAAATGGGGAAATGAGGCTAAGTCATGTGAGGAAATAGACAGCTGAGGGCTAGACGTGATGGCAGATGATAGAGAGTCCCAGAGAAGAGCATGAGACAGAAAGAAGAGAGACAAAGAGTCAGAAAAGGAGAAAGAAGACAGCGCAGAGTTTGATGTGAAAGAGCTGCAGGAGGATTAATTCCCAACGTAATTCAAGCGGGGTACAGACACATACAGAAGTAGACAAAAGGAGAGAGAAAGAGACAAGAAAAAGACAAGTATCTTATTTAAAGAAGCTGATGAGTGGCTGGAGGAAGAGTCCCAGTGTTCCCAACACACACACTGTCACAAAAACCCACAGGAAGATCCTGTCGATGACCATGGCAACGTACTTCCAGTCATCCTCCACCTGATGAGGGAAGAGAATACAGGTGTGTATAAGTAGAAAAGATAAAAAAGTATTATAATGAAGGCAATATGCATTCATAGGCAATAGCACTGTGCTCTCTCTCAATCCCTAAAAATACTCCTTTGCTTGGTGGTAATTGTGAAATTTCTAGCAATGGAGCAAACCGCCACATTCAGTTGATGTCACTGTGTCAACACTAGCGCTGTGTGCCTATAAGGGGTGTGTGAGTTTATGTGAGTGTGCAAGAGAGGCCGAGAGAAACACCAGTGTTTACTTTCATGCATCTGGCTATCGTTGGAGCAGTTTGTGTGTGTGTGTGTGTGTGTGTTTATTCCTTGATCAGTCAGGTGTGGACAATAGGATCATGGCTGCACTGACCGTAATGCCATTGTGTGCCTATGGAGGAGGCAGTATGGTTATTCTGTATGCATCAAAGAAAGATTCCAGCTCTGCTAAGAAAAGATGGAGCTGAAGCAACAAACATATCAGGGCCATCCAGAGTGTGCAGGAGGCGTACGCAAAGCCCCTCATCTGCAACAAACAAGCCGCTTCACACTCCCTTTATAGCCCCGTGTAAATGGCTTCTACACCATTTACTAAGCTAGGTAGGGATTCACACACTGCAGAGGTAACACGCATATATTATAGCTTTTTGTACGTCTTGTACTTGTGTCTCCCCTCAGGTCTTAGAGGTAGGAAGGTAGGCCTTAGGCAGAATATGTATTAGTGCATTGGGTGCATAGAGGAATACATTCACCTCTGATCTTCTGATTAATCATTTCACATGATTAGTCAGTATATATGACACCTACAGCAAATACAGGTAAGTCAGAACAATGTCCTCATAAGTATAGTAGTTCAAGGTTGTATGTCGATGTGCTACATATGTCTATGTACATTTGTAGTTGCAATTTAAGATTGCTTTTACAGCAGAAAATTAGCAATTTCTATAATAAAGGTGAAAACAATAACTTTGTGTTCATGTCCAGTAAAGATGTCACTTTGTGAAGTTGGCTCATTAGAATAGTGTGCAGTAAACATATGAATACAAATATATTATCTCCTGATGTGATAAAGTTTGACACTCACAACTGTTGTGAGTGTCAAAGAAATGGTCAAGAAATGGCTTTAACACAAAATGTAATCTCATATTCAGGTTTAAATGTTATTTTTCTTGCAAATGAAAAGGATTTGAAGAATCTTACTTTTCCAGGAATATTGTTGGTTTTCAATACAGTTTAACTTTGTGAAAGTGACATGATAATGGGAGTGATATCCTCCAACAGTACAGAGTAAATCTGCCACCTTATACAAGAAAATGCAATTGTTTCACAAAGAAATATTTGAAGAGTAATCCTTGTGTTTCATTAAGCAGACTGCAGTGAGAGAAAGAAGACAGAGGCCTTGACTCACTGCACTCTTGGGGATTTTCAGTGTGAAACTAAATCATGGTTTTACAATGTTATTAAACTCTCTGCTGAGAGATATGCAGGGTCTTCCATAAGGGAGGAAAATGGGGAAAGCTTTTTGGGCCCCAGCCACTAGGGGGGGGTCTATGGAGGCCAGCCATAATCATTTTACACATGCATTTGTTGATATGAGTAAAGCATATTTAGGAAAGACCATTTACCGGACACAGTAACAGCCTTGAGATACCTAAACTCAAATGGGAAGACACTATCCACTGTTATCCTTTCCAGAGTAAATGGCTAACCATAATTACATTTCTGTAGCGCTATGGATAATTTCTAGACAACTTCTGGTTAATGTTGGAACAATGCACAAAGGTCATTCCGTCATTGATTCATCTGCTGATATTTTATCTCAATTCACTGTTGGTGCTGTAAAATGTATGAAAATAGCTTAAAACGTCCTTCACTTTTTCCATAAGCTCAAGATAAGGTCTTGAACTTGTGTGTTTTGTTGGTCCAAGCCAATCAGTTTACTATCATATACAACATAAAAATCTGTACGTATTAAACTATCAAGGAGTTGAAAATACAGGATGTTTGGCATTTGTTCTTGGAAAATGACATAAATGACATTAAATATAGTTCAATATTTTCTGTTAATTGACTGATCAAGGAATCATCTAATCATTTCAGCTTTACAACACAGACAACTCAAGCTTTATTTGTACCTCTTTGGCTTTGTTACGCGTCCTCATGTTCTCTGCGATGTACTTCACGCTCTCTATGGCCTGCTTGATTTCTGGTGACACCACGGAGAAGGCAACAACAGCGTTGACAGGTGAAGGGGCGTTCATGGGCCTCGGCACCTTGGGCAGCTCTGACTCCTGGGGCCCCTGGGTCTGGGGTGCCTGGGGAGGAGGGGGTGGCACTATTGGGGGAGGGACAGGAGTCGGTACTTCCTTGCCTCTGTAGGGGCACCTCCTGTTCATATCCCGGTTCATGTCACGGTTCATCTCACCGTACTCCACACAGTTCATGGAGCCGCCAGCTGAGGCGGACCCCCCTCCTCCCGCACCACCATCCAGTGGTGGACACGCTACACCCCCAGTTATACCCCCAACGCTTACGCTCCCTGAGCCGCTTCCTCCTCCTATGCTGTTCTTTCTCTTCTTGTTCCCCCCACTGCTCCCTCCTACTCCCGTCCCTGCTGTAATACTGGCAGGGGAGGAGCAGCCCTGGTCGATAGGCCTCCTCATCAGCATTACCCTGGGCAGCACCCCAAGGAACACAGACCTCACCCACTCCGGCATAGTGTGAGTCATCGGGGTGCGATAGTGGACATTCAACACAAAGACGGTGATGACGATGCTGAGCGTGACAAAAATCATGGTGAAGAGGAGGTACTCGCCGATCAGAGGGATGACGAGTGACGTCGAAGGGATGGTCTCAGTGATGACCAGGAGGAACACAGTGAGGGAGAGAAGGACGGAGATACACAGGGTGACTTTCTCGCCACAGTCAGATGGGAGGTAGAAGACCAGCACTGTGAGGAAGGAGATGAGGAGGCAGGGGATGATGAGGTTGATGGTGTAGAAGAGAGGCAGGCGGCGGATGTAGAAGGAGTAGGTGATGTCCGGGTAAATCTCCTCGCAGCAGTTGTACTTGATGTCATGCTTGTATCCCGGTGCATCGATGATCTCCCACTCTCCACTTTCCCAGAAGTCTTTAAGGTTGACCTGATGAAATGAAAATGTCATGTAAATGATGATAAAGATCCCCTCCAAACATAACACACATATATAAAATGGTCTGCTTTAAACAATAATGTTTGTCTGATATGTGTTTTACACAAAATAATATAATTTCTATGTTAAAATCCTTAAAAAGGCATCCAACCTTCTACTTCATTAAAAATTTGCAAATCTATAAATGTGCTAATTTTGTTTATTTCTAAAGTTTTCCTGCTAAACACAAGATGTCTCCGACTTCACTGTATTAACTTATAACTCCATTCTTAGAGTAGGTGCACTAGAGGCTTCAATTTTCTACATCACACTTGTAGAAGTTGCATACTGAACCAGAATTGACTTCCAAACTATTTGTGATGTTACAAATCATGCTCGTAGGCCCAGCCCCTTAAAATTACATTTCCAATGAGCACAGAGAAACTTTCCACTTTCAGGAGATAAATGAAACATCCTTCTAGTGTCAAACTCTGCACATACAAGGAACAACAAGGAAAACATATTTTGAGTGAATAAGAGTGGCTCAGTACTAAATTGTTCCCACTAATATTTCTATAATTTCAAAGTTCTCACAAAAAAAGTGTTTCAAACATGACATGAGGAATAAAACTGCACAACTGCGAGACCCGGACAGTCTCTGACCTTTGAGCCAATAAGCACCAGGTCGATCTTGGCCTTGTCGTAGGTCCAGGAGCCAAACTTCATAGAGCAGTTCTGGTAGTCAAAAGGGAAGTAGGTGATGTCCATGGGGCAGGAGGATTTGAAAATAGCCGGAGGAACCCAGGTGATGGTGCCATCAAACTTCAACAGAGCCTTGGTCTTGTCTTCCACGAGGAAGTCACCTACAGCACTGCGAGAGAGTATTTTCAAGGAGATGTAAATGTCATTTCACTTAAAGGCCATTACAACATTTAATTAAAAAGGTCAGAAGATGTGGAGCATAAATAAGTAACATTAGCATATTGCAGCTTGAGGGATAACCACATAAAAGACCACACAATGATACTAATAAAGCCTGCTGTAACATAAAAGATCCTAGAAACATGCAAGATTCTTCTTTCGCATTTGTAATCTAAAACTTACTTGTTGTACAAAACGATATCTGGCCTCCAAATTTTATTGGATGGAACTCGTATGAACTCAATCCCATCGTACTCAACAGGGGCCCATTTCAGTTTGTAGTCGTTCCAGACCTAAAAGACAGATAATACTTAGCATAACTCATTGAGAACAAACAATCAAAACGACAGAACTTAAAGGATAAATGTCACTCACATGTCTCAGCCACAAATTGGTTTCCATAATCTGATTCACCTCATCCTGTATGGACAAAAACAGTGAATTAGTCAACAAGAGAAAGGGAACTTTGATGAATGGATAGCGAATGACCTTTTATAAAATACTTTTTTTTTCACATGAGACAATTAGTTGTTCACTCTCTACTCTTACCACTTTGACCAGCTGAGATATGGAGACCTCAAACTCCACTGTGACTGGATCAGATACATTCTCCACTGGCCGGATGAACTGGTTGTATCTCCTGAACAACCTCCGAAATAATCTGTCCTCCCCTTTAGATGAAAAACAGCCTAAAGAACCAAAGAAGAAATGGAAGAAGAACAGTCAATGTTTTTTCTTCTGAAATGTATTTTTGTGTATTTTGAAAATGATTGTCCCTGAAGGAGATGTTGAAGGTCAGACTGAACAGTTGAACGGTTAAATAATTTATAATCTAAACAGTATTACATGGCCTTGTGTGCCACTCTAGGTGTCATGTCAACAGTTTTACAACGGCAGTATATGGACACATTGCTCTCTTCTTCTGTCAGTGCAATACCATGGTTAGACAGTATCCAGAGATACTGCCTCCACAGAGACACCAAATACTCCTTTATATCCATGTTTTTCTGTTTGTGTGTGGTTCTTATGGTCAAATGGTGGTAGGTGTCATTTAACATTTACTGTATTAAAATGTGAGTGTCAGGGAGCAAATCAATTTGACTTCTTATATATTCAATATTTCTGAAAGGTCAGCCACTAAAAATTATTTAACATGTCTGCTGACGAAAATCTTCCAAAAGATAGAGACGACTTGTGTATGATTGTTAAAACTACAGACATAGTGAATCCACATTGTCTACAGAACAGCTTCATCACTTTCTCACCATTCTCATTTTCACTTTGTAGCTACCACAGACAGAAAAAGCAACACACACACAACTATGTTGTTATTTAGGGATTGGTTCACCAGAATCACAGAAAACATATATTCCCACTGAGTCAGGTCATGCAGATAGTTTAACTTTATTTAACTTATCTACATGTTTAGATTCCATTGGGGTTAAATGGGAAAATGGAAAATATGTTTTAGTTGGATTTAGCTGAAATGACACTAAACTGTTTAATCAATGTCTCTTTGCTCTGGATGGAGCGAAGACTGTGAGAGATCAAAGTGTGTACTGAGAGGCATTTCAATTGCTTGTTTATGGAGAGAAGGAAAATCCTGCAAGCTTTCAGGAAATCTCCAAACACCAGATGCTTTAAGAAAAAAAGAATATTGTGCAGTTGGCCAGTGTGTCTGGAGTGTGTGCTGGCTATGTGAGGCTGGACTGAAGGTCATATTGTGGGAAAACTGCCACAAGTAACACTGGTGCCTGGGATGGCACAGAGATCCATGCCTGTCCAAGCAGAAAATGTTGCCTCTCTTGGGACAGCACACACTCACACCACCTGCACAACCTCAGTAACACTGTGCCAGTGGCTCCAATTAGCTCCAAATCCTTTAAACCACAACATGGAAATTCACAATCTCTCTTTTAACATCCTCTGTATCTTCATCTCAATCTCTTCATCTCATCTTTCCTTTGCCATGTTCTTCTATGTGTAATTCCCCAAACAACCTCCTTTCCCTTTTACCCTTTTCTCCTCAGTACATGACAACATTGGTAGGCAGTCCCACTGTCCGTGGATTTTGAACTGATGGATTAATTTTGTTCTGACACAAACATTGAGGCAAACAAAAAAAATATTTTATTTTTTTTAAAGCAGAAGCCAACCTCTCCCATCATAGCTTCTAATCCAAGAAGTGACATTATTCAACCCAGTCTCAAACCATCAAACCTGCACTTACCAAGCTGCCTGAACCATTTCACAGATGGAGGAGAATGTGCTTCACCAAAAGGGCAAATGGAGCACAACCCATATACACACAAATAGCTACATTTACTGAAAAGGTTTGTTTCCTTGACAACAACTAAATAAAACATGGTCCTTTAATGGGACACTTTTTTCTGTCAGTTTAACTCTCTACAAACCAGAAGCATGTAAAACTGCTTCACAACCTTACTTTGAATTCTTTCCTCTACTCTTCGTCATCATCAGAGATATCATATCTTAATAATTTGTATGTCATGTCTTGATACTGACAACGAGGGACAACCACTGAAATCCGTACCTACAAATTTGCCTTGGAGTTTTTAACAAAGAAAGTCAGCTATCTAGCACACATTAGTGTCAAAAATGAGGAAAATGTGAGTTAAATATATAGACTGCAATGGTTTACTGCAGACTACTAAACTAGTTGACCTAAGCTAGCGTGGCTGGAGTGTTAAGCAGTAGATTGTTGTTGTTGGTTGTGGAAAATGAAAAGAGACCAGCAACAGAATAACTATATTGTATGTTTTTTGTTGCTAGGACCTCCTCCATTACCCAAGGGATTTTAATTTCCAATATGTTCTCTTCTTTTCCACTGCCATAAGATGCAATAAATTCATATGCCTTGAATAAAAACAGACTTTCAGTGGGGATGGTAACTTTCATAAAACACATTTGTTTTTCATATTCACTGTCCATACAGTAAAGTCATAAAGCACTTCGTCCATGTATTGCCATTGGGAGTACACATAGATAAATATCTTGCAGACATGTCTGATTACAGTCTGTCTGGTTTCTTATTGAGGACATAAAGTAATTGATGTTTAGTTAAAGAAAGTTAGTTTATTTGAGGGTTTTTTTGAATCTGAAGCATGTTAGAGTCTAACAGATAACACAGAAACATGCTTTTCATGTCCTTTTACATTTTACACGTTTTAATAACAATTTTAAATTCCCCTCACAAAGGACTAACAAAGCTCAGGGGTAGACCCAGCGTACTGAACTAAAAATTAAAAAAACTCTCACAACAGTTATATAAGCACAACATCTGGTGCACATAAAACAATGAGCAAACACAAACATAAAGGTCAATATAAAAACACGAACAGAATGCTGTAGTACAAGAGAGTATGTGCAGTGTCTTAATTTATCCCATATATTGCACTAATATGATTGAGTCAAAATCCTTATCACTCTGTCCCTAAGGTGGAGTGTAAGTCTCACTAAATTTCAAGTTCAAATACAAACCAGTGGAGGCATAAGCTGTTCAACAATCCAGATAAAGAGAAATGAAAGATAAATTAAAATCAGGTCGCAATCATGTTCATTCACTCAAACATTTTCCACTGCTTACTTTTGTGAAGTTGTTAGTCTCAGTTCAACATGCAGAATTCTCCTAAGAAGTTAAAGGTCCAGTGTGTAACATGTTCTACAGAAGCCCAAAACGGACAAACCGAACACCGGCACAAGGTCAGGCACGTTCACCACGGTTTCTCCTACACGCTTGGAGGGCATAGGGTTATTCAACTGGTTGCAATCTACAACCCCACTCAATGCCACTAAATCCTAATCACTGGTCCTTTAACTAACTAAAAACAAATAAAAACCTGTCAGGTCTAGTTCCAGTACTCAATGGATAAAAACTGACATTATACTTCAAAACTCTCACGAAGTTCTCTGAGGTCACTGGCATAGAAGAGTTGAGTCTTAAAGCTTAATGAAAAGGCCTCTCTCCTGAGACTCTTGTGTAATTTCAGCTCTTGGTACCTGCCTTGAAAACTGGCCGCTGCTCTCTGATTCGCTGCACTAACAGAACCTTGTTTAAGCCTCTAATTGGGTGAGGGGAACCCAGGGCAATTATAATCAGTCAATTAATTGGACCTTTTGTTCACTGCGACAAAAAAATTTTTTTTCCTCTGCTGGCACAGTCACTCTCTTAATTCCCTTCTTTGTTCTGCCACTGAAGATCTTAAGTAGCCTTAATTTAAAGGAAGTTAATTACAACCTTTGCCCTTTCACCTCAGTTGATTTTGCAAACTATTCTTAATGCTCGTAAGGGATGTATCCCTGGTATTTAACGTAAGGATTTAATTTGTACAGAGAGCAAGAGTGTGCATGTGAAAGTAACAGGCAATGAGTGATAAAACTATATTACAGTATGATTAAGATCACATTCAATTAGCACTAATCATAAAGTACAGATGAGGCTGATGGGAATGTCTGTTTTGCAGTCATAAACAAAAGTACTGGACTAGTTAAAATTCATCTTGAGAGGGACATGAATGACAGTCACTAGGATACATCATCCGGGGACCAAGAATGTCTGTGCAAAATTTCATAACAATCCATCTTGTAGTTGTTGTAATATTTCAATCTGGGCCAAAGTGGTGAACTGACCAACATTGCTATCCCTAGAGCAGCTGCTAGCATGGCTAAAAATATACCATCACGACTGTCACAAATGTCTCCAGAAGTCATTTCCGACTAAATGTGTCTTGTATCAGCTCACTTGTTTCAAACTTTAGAATAAATGATTGTAGACAGAACTGTTGTTGCTTCTGATAATGAAAATCACATGAAATCAGCTTGACAGTCATGTTTCATTATACCAGACATGTGCTCCGCCCTTCCCCTCTTTGTGATGCTGTAACTAAGTGATGAGGCTTTGTTCTGATGCAGATGAAGCCAAGTCAAGCAGTCATGCATTTCACCCTTAAATAGCCACATTGATTTAGAATTGAGTTAAACAGTGAGTTCGTCTCGCGGCTCAGAAGCCCTTAAGCTGCAGATAGACCCGTGGCCTGTGAGAGGCTCTTTGATCAGGCATGTGCTTAACAGGATGAGCCTGGTGGACACTGAAGGAACTAATTACCCTCCAATAATACACTGCTGACAGCGAGTGCATGGAAAAGAGATACGAAGAGAGAGAGAGAGAGAAACGGCACAGAGGCGAGATAGGAGGAGCAAAGTGACAGCAAGTACGGGCAGAGAAAAGCTAGATAGCGTGTCTTTGCTCTCCAGGGTTTGTGATGGCCTGAGTGTGACATGGTGAATGACGCACAAGAGAATCGACAGTGCTTACTGCATGTGCTGTGACCATCCCATTTAGAATATGGTGCACGTTTTTACCTATGTGTGTTTTCATGCATGAGGGCTTGCCTACA